AATAAAAAATTTTTAATTTAAAAACTTTATTAATAATATTAAAAAAAATTAAGCAAAACTATACTATGACAATTATCGGATTTTTGTATATAAAAATTATTTGGATATATAATTTTTTAGATTTTTAAAAAAGTTTAACAAATGTATTACCAGTAGTACAAAAAGTGAACTCATATCTATTAATATATATGTAGTGCTAATACTGTGAATAGCAAAGTGGCGATTTGCTGGCATATATATTAATTACATTTACTAATCTTAAATTTTATTTTTTATATAAGGTAGATATACCTAATTCAGCGCAGTTAAGTTCTACAATGCATATCACGTGCTATGTTGGTCAGAATTAGATGATTTTGGTACTATTTGATTTGTCACATTGAGACAAATCGAATAGTATCAAAATCACCTAATTTCGATCATTCAATCACAAGATATCACTTTTTAAAAGTTTATTTAAAAACACAGTCTTATTTAAGCACAGTGCCTAATTCGGCACATTAAAGATTTCTAATTTAATATTTTGTGAACTATTAGTTGAAATCTTATAATTTTGGTAACATTCAATTCGTCTCAATGAGACAAATCAAATAGTATCAAAATCACATGATTCTGATCAACAGTTCGTAAAATATCGTCAGTGTGCCGAATTAGGTACTGTACCAATTAGAAATATCTATTTTATATGTAGGCTATTTTGGTTAAATGATAATATCTTGCAAACTAATGATCAGAATCACATAATTTTGGTACAATTTGATTCGTCACAATGAGACGAATCGAATAGTACCAAAATCACATGATTCTAATTAACAGTTCGTAAGATATCATTAGTGCACCGAATTAGGCACCACGTCAAATTAGGCATATCCACCTTATTATATTTAATTTATATAATTATATAACGATTATAATCATGCCACGCAAATGTAAATATCCACCAACTCCACCACATATTGCAAATCTTCCTCAATATGCACATCCATTGCCCAATGATCTCCCAGAAGAAGCAGTTAAAAAAAAAAGATTAGATGCAAAATGCAAAGCTATTATTAAATAGTATAGAGACAATCCAGGTTATATAGTTTCATCATCTACTACTACATCTGCAATATCAATTTCAACAACACCTTTGGCAACAACTTCGACAACAACTCTAGCAACAACTCCAGCAACTACCTTAGCAACAACCTTAACATCAACCCCAGCAACAACCCTAGCAACAACCTCAGCAACAATCTTAGCAACAACCCTAGCAACAACCTTAGCAACACCCTTAGCAACAACTCAAGCAATAGCAAGTTTGGAATTAGTATCAGTATCTAGTGGCTTTCAATTTTTTATTTCAATAACACTTGCTGAATTCTTTAATGAATCAACTTCTTTTGATCTATTACCAAACTTGCAAAGAAAAGAATCTAATAGAATTAGATAACAAGAGTATCAACAAAGATTAACAACAGAGCAACAACAACAAATAAGAGAAACAAATAGAATTCAACACCAACAACATACAATACAACAAGAAACAACATCAAGAAATATTGTAAAATGTAGTTTAGATAATTTTATTATAGAAAAAGAAAATAGATTTGATCTTTTAGAATGGCAGCATAAGTTTGACAATATGAATATTCGATGTATTCATTGTCAAGCTTTAAAGTAGAAATCTGAAACATTAAGATTTTGTTGTAAAAATGGCAAAATTCAGTTAGCATTGCTTGAACCTCCTCTACTAGCTATTTACTGAATCAGACATTAATACTGGTGAAAGATATATTCAAAAAATACGATCCTATAATTCTGTATTTGCTTTTATATCTTTGGGTATAAATCAAGATACAAGTATTTTAGAACTAGGTAAATCATGGGTTTTTAAAATTTCTGGAGCTGTATATCATAATATAGGCTCTTTAAAACCAACATCAGGATTGTTTGTATTTTCTCAAATATATTTTTATGATAGTGATTTTGATACTCAGTTTGAAATAAGAAATCAAGCTTCATCAAATTTAAATTTAAATTTAAATATGATGAGATCTCTTCAAACTGAACTTAATGAACTTAATCCTTTTGTCTAAATTTTTTAAAGTGCTGAACAGCTATTTCAAGTTAATTCTAATTCTAATTTGAGATTAAAAATTTCATCTATACATGGTCAAGATATAAGAACCTACAATACACTAACTGCTTTAGAAATTGCAGCTATAATTAATGATGATGATGAAATTGACTTTGGTAGAGATATCATTCTTACTATACAACAGGGTTATTTGCAACATATATCAGAATTACATGGTGTCTATGATTAGAGATGGGCAAAATAGTGTTTTCTATACCATGCATGTGCATGGTATGCTGCATGCATGCATATTATATGCAGTATATACTGTACTTACAAATTAATTTTTTTTCAAATTTTAAATAAAGATATCTCAACA